TTATCTATTATATCTCACAGCATATTTTAGAAAACTGGCATTTGCAGCAGAACACATTAATGTCAGTATTTATCTGAGCTTAGTAATTCCAAAGTTATTATAAATTGACATTTTAGGCTATAGCTAATCCTCTGGACTTACTGCTCTTCCTGGAAAAAAAATGGAAACTCTGCTTCCCTTGTATAGTTATTAAAAATATTTTTTTAGAGTTTTGGTATTTGTAAATTTTAATTATTTTAAGCTCTGGAGGAATGGAAATACTGAAGGAGAACTGGCAAGGATTGCTAAAACCAAAGTTTTCTACTGAAAAAAAAGGAAACAAAAAAATCAATAATTTACCAACTTAAAGGTGAAAGAGATGCTGTAGTACTGAAATAAAATAAAGGGTGTATTGTGGAAAAAGAAAGAGGTCACCCTTTCTATGCCTTGAATGATGAAAATTTGTGATACTGGAAAAGTGAGAAACAGCAAGGGGGGAAAGGAGAGAAAACCATAACCTGTTTTAGTCTTTTGGAAAAGTTTTTAACAGTGGTAAACTTTATCGTTTACAATTTTATAAGTTGCAGACATGAAAGTCTTAAGAGAGTCATAAAATTGAATCCGTATGGTTCATTTATATGACATTCTCAAAATGACAAAATTACAGAGATGGAAAACAGATTAGTGGTTGCCAGGGGTTAGAGATGGGGCAGAGGGTTCTGTCAGTTTTCACCTTGTATATCTTGAAAATCTGTATTTGTGAGCATAAATATTTAGGATTATTTCTTGAGCCTTCTATCATGAAATGACCTACTTTATGCCTTGTAATAATCCTTCTGCCATTTCATCTTTCTTATAATTAGTGTTAGCATAAGTACTCTATATCTTATTCCTTTCTTTTACTTTTTAATCTGCTTGTGTCTTTGTATTTAAAGTGTGTTTCTTATAGGCAGAATATAGTTTTATCTTACTTTTTTAATCCAGCCTGACAATTTAATTTCTGCCTTTTAATTGGGGGTTACAGACCACTTAGATTGAATGTGCTTGTTGACATAATTAGGTTTGAGTCTGTCATCTTGCTGGTTGTTTTCTATTTGTTTCATTGGTTCTTTGTATTTGTTACCCCCTTTCTACCTTCTTTGGGATGATACATTTTATTTTATGATTTTATTTCACCCCCTTTGTTGTCTTATTAGTGACAGCATTTTTTTGTTTTGTCATTTTAGTGGCTGCTGTAGGGTATATTGTACACATATTTAAATCATCACCTCTACAATCAAGTGATATTACACCACTTCACATACTGCATAAGAAACTTGAATAGTTTGCTTTTATTTCCTCCCTCCTGGCCTTTATGCTATCGTTGTCATACATTTTATTTATACACATGTTATAAACCCTGCACTAAATCATTGTTATTTTTTGTTTAGTCAGTGATCTTTAAAGAGATTTAAATAATAAGAAAATCCTTTTTTATTTACTCCTGCAGTCACCATTTACCAGTGTTTCTCATTCCTTTGTTTAGATTTATATTTTCACATGGTGTCATATTCCTTCTGCCAGAAGGACTTCCCTTTGTACTCTGTGTAGTGCGGGTCTATTGATTTATTATTTCTTTCAGCTCTTGTATGTGTGAAGAAGTCTATTACCTTCATTTTTGAAGGGTATTTTCTATGGGTTCATCATGTTTTCTTTTAGTGCTTTAAAGATGTTTCTCCATTGTCTTCTGGCTTGCATTGTTTCCAACAAGAAATTTACTGTCATTGTTAGCTTTGTGCCTCAGTACACAATGTGTTTGTTTGTTTTTCCCTCTCTGCTTTTAAGATTTTCTCTTTATTACTGGTTTTGAACTGTTAATTTGATGTATAGTTTTATTCCTCTTTCTTTGGATTTATTGAACTTCTTGGATGTACAGGTTTATGTTTTCATCAAATTGAAAATATTCAGCCATACTTTCTTCAAATATTTTTTTCTGTCTCTGTCCCCGCCTTTCAGGATTTCCAACTACATAGATATTATTAGGATGCTCGAAGTTGTTCCACAGTTCACTGATACTCTTTTTTTATTTTTAATTGTTTTTTTCTCTGTGCTTTCATTTTAGATAGTTCATATTACTATATCTTCAAGTTCATTAATCCTCATCTGCCATTAGTCCCATCTCAACTTGAGTCTTCTAAAAAAATGTTCTATGTGTCTACTTAACTTTTTGTATATGAGGAATACTGTTTTTAATGCTCTTGTCTGTTCATTCTAACATCTGTGTCTAATATCAATAACCATCTCGCAGTAATTGATTTCTTTATTTTTCTCATTATAGGCCATCTTTTTTCTGCTTCTTTGAATGCCTAGCAATATTTGATTAGATGCCAAACATTGCGAATTTTACCTTTTTAGCTGATGAATATTTTTGTATTCCTATAAATATTCTTGAGCTTCATTCTGGGACATAGTGAAGAAGGTACTTGGAAACAGTTTGAACCTTTTAGGTTTTACTTTTAAAATTAGTTCAGTGGAACCAGAGCAGCTTTGAGTCTATGGTTATATTGCTGAGGCAAGACCTTTTTGAGGACTCTACCCAATGACCTCTGAATTATGAGGTTTCCAGTCTGCCTGGGAGTAGGCCAGATTCAAGGCCCTGAGTGAATGTGAGGTACTGTTCCCTCTCATCTGTTCAGATGGTTTTTCTCCCAGCCCTCAGGTGGTTAGTTACATCATATGCACGCACTGATCCTTTTTCTATTGAATACTCAAGTAGTACCCTGTGCAGACCTCTGGGGTTTTCTTTCTTTGAAGATCTCTCCTTTCCTGGAATCTCTAGCCATGGTATCTGCAGAACTCTTAGCTCCCTCTCTTCAACTCAGGGCATCTGCCAGGCTTCAGCTGGGTTCTCCCATTCTACACCATGGCCTGGAAACTCGCTCAAGGCGGTAAGCTGGGGCAATTACAGGGCTCAGAGATCACCGTCCTACATGGCTCAATGTCCAATGTCTCGAAATAGTTGTTTCGTATATGTTGTCTTTTTTTTTTTGTTACTTCAGGTGGGAAGGCAAATTGGGTTCCTATTATTCTATTTGATTGCACGTGGAAATCTCAAAATTAGTGTTTATATAGATATAGATAGATAGATATTTAATGTCACTATTATTTCAGAAAAAAAGCTGTATTTTAACCATTATGAGTAAATCAGTTTTTAAACATGCTTGCTGTATTTAAAGTTTATGAAGAGCTGAAGTAGGGTGAAGGGAGTGGGCCATAGAAAATAAAAGTGACTAAAAGTTCCTTTCTTTCCCCGAAGCTTTCTGACTTGCTCTTTTGTAGGTTGTTACTCTGATCACTTATTAGTCAGAGCCCCTTTTGGAGAGAGATCTTTAAATGAGTTCTATGAATGTGCCACTCAAAATGTGTAGAGGATGTTATAAATAAAATTGTCATGGTCTTTAGATTTTAATCTATATGATTAAAACTTTGTGTGGGCCGGCCGAGTGGCATGTTGTTGGGTGCTGGCTTGGGACGCCAGAGGGCCCCGGTTCGGATCCTACATATGAGGGCCAGTGACACTGCCCTCTACAGCTAAGATGCTGAACAACAGCTCAACCTGGAGCTGGGCTGCCATGAGTCGCCTGCGACGGCGTAGGCTGCAGCCCCTGCTGCAGTGGGTTGCCATGGGCTACCATGTATAGCCAGCAGCCAGTGTTAAGTGCAGCCTCCGTGAGTGGTTGTCCAGAAGCTGGCAACTCATCTGCCTCACCCAGAAAGAGCGCAATGATGGTGCCAACTTGGGCCAGTGAAGCAACGTCCTCCACAACTAGACTGAAGAACAAAAGGACAGCAACTTGTCTGTTCCCCTTCCCCCGATTCTCCAGCGCTGTTCCCATCCCCCAATTCCCCAATTGAAAAAAAAAACAAAACCAAAAACTTTGTGCAATATTGTAAAGGATACATAATGAGGGGGACTTACCTCACTAGATATTAAAATGTATTTTAAAGCTATGATAATGAAAATACTGAAGTACTAATGCTAATACAGGCACAGATTAGTGGATCAAAATAGAATGTTCATTGACAGACTCATACATGTATTTTAAATATTTAGCATAAAGGAATTCTTTTAATGGTGGGTCATTCAGTTGATGATGTTGGTACAACTGGACAGCTCATTGAAAAAAAAATTAAAGTTGATCTCCTCTCCGTATCTTATACTCAGATATATTCCAAATAGGTTAAAGATATAATCTAAAAGTATTATAAGAAAATTTAGGCAATTTCACATAATCTTGAGAAAGAGAAGGCCTAAGTATGACAGAAAGGGTACAAGCATAATGGAAAATAGAGATACGATTACATAAAGATTTATAGCTTCTAAATTGCAAAAAAACAAAAACAAAAAAACCGTTAAAAACAGAGTTCCTATTCTTATTGTATAAAAACTCCTCATAAAATAGTAAAAGAAAGATGAATACCACACTAGAAAAATGGGCAAGAGGACATGATTAGGTAATCACAATTAAGGGTAAAAAATATAGATGTCTGGGAAATATTTATTTTAAAAATGTTCTATTTCATAATAGTAACAATAAAAATAATAATACTAGTGAGAGTATCATTTATTATGTGTTTCTGTTTATCTGAATATGTTAAGAACTCTCAACAGATTAGTTATTTTAATCCTTTGAAAAGGCAAGTATATATGTTATCTTTTTATAAATGCGACAACTGAGACAGGATATGAAGAACCTTGCCAAAGGTGACAAATCTTCCAAGTGGTTGAACCAAGGTTATAACTCAGGACACCTGACTTAAAGTACTGTTGCTCATCACCTCTCAAGGAAATAAATTAAAACCTTATAGAGAAATTGGTAATTTGCTCAAGATCACACAGCTGCTAAGCAATAGGATTGAGTTAAAAATTTTAGAAAAATAAATATCGTGTAAATAGAAGAAAGAAATTCAGGGTAAAGTAAATTAGAAGAGCAACAAAGCAAATGTCTTTTATGTTTTACAAACTCACTATTTTTTTTCAGAATATTTAAAAGATGCTTCGAAGAAGATGAAAAGTGGGCTTATGTTTGTACAATTGGTCAACCCATGTTTAGGTAAGCTCTCTCCTCCAATAATAGTAACTTGAACTTTTTTTAAACATCGTAGCTAGGGGGGCGGAGGGAAATATAATATATATATATATATATTTTTTTTTTTTTTGCCTTTGCATATTTATTCTAACGGAATAGTTTTAAATGTTAAATGGCATTACAGGGTGACAAGCAAGCCAATGTCATTACTAGTCTACTCAGATGATTCACTCCACCTAAACATTTATTTATTGTTATAATTTTAATCTATAGAACTGTTCATTCATCAGAAATATGGATGGCAAAATAAAAAAGCAGCTAGTTTGATTTCTCTCTGAAAATAGGTTAACTTTCTTTGGCTTTCTTAAGCCAACTTTTCTTAGCATAGTTAGCCTCCATTTATATTCATTTTATGTTATAAAGTAAAATAAACAACCGGGGTGGGGGAGGAGAAGGGTTTTATTTGACATGCCAAGGTTATGAGTAGTTTCATTTTTAGCTGTACTTCCCTTATTTTGTTCTGACCAGAAAGTAGTATATTTTTTTCCTGTCAAGGGGTGATTTTTATTGTGTGCTAAAAGCATTGTATATTGGAGAGATACACATTTTATCAGAAATAATTTGATTTTAACTTTATGTTCACGTATTTTCAGTTTTGTCTTCTAATTTTTAGGCAAAAATATTAAAATATAGCATAAATATGTAGTAATATTGATGATAATATATCTGTATGTGGAATTGTTTTTCCATTAACTTATTTTATAAGATTTATGTTATAAGGTTGTTGTTAATTTTATAAGGTTTTGAGTTGATCCCCAACACTTAGTAAATCAGAACACCCTCCTACAGACTTTAAGACTGAATAGTGAGAGCAAGCGGAAGCCAGTGGGTGGTATCTTCTTGTTGCCATTGCTGTTGGAAAAACATATAATAGAAGCAACAAGAGAGGAAAAAAATTCCTGGTTTCCTCCAGCTTTCTTTTCCTCAAAATGAACTTGAATGTATTGTAATTGGTCTGCTGTATTATTTGGAGCTCCTAATTATGCAGAAGACTAAGTTGAAGTGAGAAATATTTTTTCAAGAGAAATTTTAGATAGCAGTGAAGATTCTAAATCATTTAGCAAAAGTAAAGGTACAAAAAAAGTCAGGCTTCTGGTAAAATTTCTTTTTTTTTATCTACATGTCCATAGACAACAGAAGAACAAATGTTTGTATTTGCTACATTGACTATGTATAAAATAAAGGCTAGTACTTGCTGAGCACTTACTATATGCCAAGTACTGTTTTAAGAACCTTGCGTGTATTTTCTTTTTAATCCTAATAAAAACCCTGTGAGGTAGGTTCAGTATTGCTCCCATTTTACAGATATGGAAACCAAGGCGCAGAAAGGTTTACATAACTTCCCCAAGGATGCACGCCCCGCATGTGGTGGAGACAGATTCAAAGTCCCTGATTGCGCTATGTTTAGAAAAAAGTTTCATGCACTGTAGGGCCCTGCCTTTCTCACTCAGCTGGCCTTTGGGGTCAGCAGGCGCAGTCTCTACCTTGGCCCCTATGTGTGGGGAGCCACAGGCTGCCCTGGAGACAGGGACCCACATACCAGCTCAGCTTATCTAGCTGAACCATTAGGTTTGGGTAGTTTAAGAATGGGTTTCCTTCCTGATCTGATGGAAGATTCAATAAGAGGCTTTGTAGCAGTTAAGATAAATGATTTGCATTTTATTATTTATTGGTTTAAGTTCAGTGAGGGTCATGGAGCTGCAAAACAAGCATCTGTATATATTAGCTGTAAGCTTTCCTTGGAGTCAGTTTGTATAGACTATATATCTAGTGTATGTTTATGTTCATAATCGGAACATTCCTCGGAACTATTGGATAGTCTTCTGATTTTTTTTGTGGGTGTGAAAACTTACAAATAAAAAACAGATTTGTCTTAACAGGGAAAGGAGTCCTTTACTTGTTCAATATGTGTCCACAGCAGCTGTTTGAAATAAAAGTTTTCAAGGAAAAACACCATTCTTGGTTTATAAATCAATCAGTTCAATCAGGTAAGTGACTTGTGTATATATTTCCATTAACTAAACACATATTTTAGCTTTTCCATCCTTCACGGGCGTACGGGTCTGTCCTCCTGGTTTGGAGTCTGGTCCGTGGGTTTTTTTTTTTCCTTGGCATCAGAGCAGGGTTTAATCAAGGAGAAAGGAAAGATAATTTGAGCAAGTTTATATCAATACCTACACATATTAGATGGCAGGAAATTTTTACCTAACGACTGATTTGTCTAGTAAAGCACTGATACATCCTTAGTCAGACTAGATGACCTTTGGACCATGGAGTGCATTGTCTTGACTAGAAACTCTTTGCTCTTTAGTTAGCCATGTTTGAGGATTTTAACATCTTATTGCCTTAGAAATTAGATATAGCCTCTAAAATAGCATAGAATATAACAAAGATTTTTGTAATGCTTTGCTATATAAATTAATGCTGCTCACCCTCCCCCTAAGCACACACCCCTCCCCCAACACCAAAGTTCTATTTCTTCGTATGTTCCTTTAATTTAGAGTAGTGTTGACTCATTAGGAAAGGCATACCACATGTTGTTCTGGAGCTCCTGACTTGGGTGGGAGGGAAGGAGGGGTGGGTCCGGGGATAGTTGAGGCACTCTGCATTCCCTCCTCGTGTTCTCTCATTGTTTCCAGAGAGCACTTTCCATTTCCTCCTTAGCCCTCTGCTTTCTGTTGACTTTGTACATGCCTACTTAGACTCAAGGTAAAAAGACCACTTTGCCTTGCTTCTAAGACAGAAGAAGAAGGATTTCATGCTGCTGATAAATTTCATATACCTATGTGCATAAGAAGAATTAAAGTGGTTTTTAGTTGTCATATGCAATGGTAGTCTGTATAGCCTGGTAGTTAGAATACACACTGTATTTCCTTCTATTATTGCTGCTATGCTTGCTCGTTTGGCAGTATATGAGACTTCTGACTTCTAATGTAATACGTACTCTTGCAGTTGGGCCTAGCTAGAGAGACACAGTAATATACAGATGAAACTGGAAAATATTGATCATTTCTCCTGGATTGAGTTGGTACCTACTGTTTTTTTCTTTTTTAGTAGACTTTATTTTTTAGAGTAGTGTTCACAGCATAGGTACCTGCTTTTCCCATCATTGTCTTTTTTTTAAACGTAGCCTTGAAGAAAGAGCTGTTTTTAAGGATTTTGTTTTCAGACCTGGAAACCTATTCCTAATTCCTGAACATAATGGGTGCCTCGTATAAAATGAACTTAGAGCTTCTGATAGGTTGTTTTCATAAACTTCTACTTTTAAAAAAATAACTAATGCCATGAAATTACATCCTTAAATTTTTCACTTACTATGAAATGGATTCATATATATAATTTAGAGTTAGAATTTCTTGGCCATGTAGGTAGATTGCTCTGTTAGAGAATAAAAGTGCATGTGTTTCCTGAAACCAAAATCATAAATATGGAAATAAGTGAATTGTTTTTTGTTCCGTTTTATAAAATACCTCTTCTGATTCACTTCTATGGAAGAGGAAGTCTGGTAAAGAAAAGTGGGGAGCAGGTAGGCTAGTTTGTTTCAGTTGCCTTTTTTCCTTCAGCCAGGAGAGCACCATTAATCCTAATGCAGAGTTTCCAGTTTCTTATGCTCAGTCTTGTTAGACTCCTGCCCTCTTGTTATTTCTTTGGGGTACGGGGGTGGGGTAGGATCTGGAGTGGGTAACAACCTCTGAGCCTTGCGTCATTGGCAATTTAGAGCTGTGAGCCCACAGACCATAGATGGAGCTATGTACAGAGAGAATAATATTGCTTTCCCATGGCTTTGTCCTCAAAAGCACAGGAAATTACATTTTACTGCAGCTTTATAGATAGACTTATATAGGTTTCCTATGTATGTGTGGTTCACATTCTGTCCATATTTCCCCTAACCCTTGCCTTTTTGGGAAGGTGGGGAGGACCTCTGTTAAAAATGATTTCTAAAGAGAAATGGAAAGTTAAAGATTGATTTTAGTGTCTTGGCTCTCCTCTACACACAGAGATTTGAAGCTCTTTGGAGTAAAATCTTATGGGCCACATTCTGCCTTTTGAGAGAATCACATAGAATCTTGGGCCTGTGTAAGAAGAGCTTCTGAATTTAGAATTTCACATACATTTTTCACAGAATGGTTTCTGCATTGGGATTAAGATGAAATGACTAAGATGTCTTTCCTGACATTGATTCCCTTTGTTCTCTTTTTAATCTGTAGGAGGTCTTCTTCACATGGCCACACCCATGGACCCTCTATTTCTGCTTCTGTACTACCTTAAAAAGGCCGATAAGGAGGTAAGTTTCCCAGTTTGGGATAATAACAGTAAGGAAACAATAGATTGTTTTTTTGCTTGATCTGCTCTCTCTCTTTTTAATAATCCAATTGTACATTCCCTACAATTCAGATTTAGCTTGGTTGGTATACAGCTCATGTGTCACATGTGCTGCTATGGATTTGGGAGACCTGAGAACCACCACCTTAATCTTGGAATAGTTTACCCGTGACTTCTGAGAGCTGCCTCACCCTCCATGCCGTGTGCCTTACTTGTTTGACACAGCATAGCAATGAAAATGTTATCATTAAGTACTCATTAGTTTTGAAATACAATACAAATGTTAAAAAGTTGATCTCAGTACACAGAAGTTTGGCAATTTTCGTATAGTTTAAATGCTCATGGGTTGATCTTATTTAATCCTTAGAGCAAATTTCCAAAACTTCTATTTTGTGGGACTATCGATTGAGTTTGCAATAAATACTGAAAGTAATAAAACTGAGTTAAAACTTTAAGTCACGTTTTCTCCTGATGCAGCTTAGCTTCTTTTATTTTCCTCCTTGCCTGTGTCCTGGATCCCTTTGTGTGGACTAGTGAAGCTTTATTCCTTAGTTTAATCATGTTTCCTGTTACCTGGAAGCTACATAGGGCATACCACCAGTGAGGCTAGGCAGCCATGAGTCTCTGGTGAACACAGATGGCTCTAGTCACCACCAGGAAGGCCTGGTAGTAGTCAGGGAGGAGGTTGAAAACTTCAGTTGGCTCCCATTTGTTTTCTAGGATATATTAACAGAGAGAAAGCCACCACCCCGCCTTAGTACCTGCACTGATGAATGTCTAAAGCTCCTCTCCCCATTTTTTCGTAATGTTTCCCTATTTCCTAGTAACACCATGACTGGTGGATGAACCCTCACCCTGACCTTCTGGGGATCTCTGGGGATGTTGTGACTCATTCAGGTTGACAGCTGCAGAACAAAGCAGGAACCCTGCTCGAGGTGGTAGTTGGCTTTCATTGGAAACCATCTTCTCTTCTCAAATACTAGAAATGCTCTTTAAAGTAATCTATGAGATGTTTAGGTATTTCCTTCCCTACATTTTAGACGTGATCTTTTCCTATTTAAATAAATAAATTTAAATAATTAATAATAAATAAATAAAGTTAAATAAATATATTGGTACATACTTTTAAAATGTTGCCCTATTCTTTTTTAATCATAAGATTTATTTTAACATCAGAAGAAATAATTCTTTTTTTTTTTTAAGGTTTTATTGGGGAATTGAGGGAGGGGAACAGCGCTGGGGAATCGGGGGAAGGGGAACAGACAAGTTGCTGTCCTTTTGGTCTTCAGTCTAGTTGTTGCTTCACTGGACATTGCTTCACTGACCATGTTGGAATTATCATTGTGCTCTTCCCGGGTGAGGCAGATCGGTCGCCGGCCTCTGGACGGCCATTCACGGCGGCTCTTGGCAGCTCACACTGGCTGCTGGCCGCTCATGCTGGCTGCCGGCCACTCACAGTAGCTTATGGCAGCCCACTGCAGCAGGGGCTGTAGCTTACACCATCACCGGCGACTCGGCAGCCCAGCTCCAGGTCAAGCTGTTGTTCACCATCTTAGCTGTAGAGGGCAGTGTCAACTAGCCCTCATGTGGGATCCGAACTGGGGCCCTACTACTCAGAGCTGCTGTCCCAAGCTAGCTCTTAACCAATGCACCACTAGGCCGGCCCAAGAAATAATTCTTTATTCTAATTATCCCATCTGTTATTAGCTTTATATGCAAAGCAAATTGTATATTACATTTCCTTTTTATGTATATATGGTAAAGAAAACAAGAATGACACATCACTGTGAAATTATTATATCATGACTTTGTGAAGTAGAATATTGTTTTAAAGTAGTTAAATATTTAAAATACTGATTGATTGTGAAAGGATATATAGATTAAGGTAGAAATCTAAAGGCAGTAAGACTTGGGAAATCGATGAATTATTTTTACTATCTGAAGGAAAAAGAGAACATTTAAATTGAGGCATTTCTTGCCACTTGTTAACCTAACAGAAAGGGTGACAAGCTATCACACATAGTACTGAATGAATGAGAAGATTTCACCCTTAAAAAACAAAGAAAGCTGCATTTGCAGAAGGAAAACTGATCAGACACAGTTTCTCTATCCTAAAATGGAGTTGTCACTAATACAGAAAAGTAGAGGGAGCCAAGAGTGGGAGATGGGCAAACTGATGCACCTTTTACAAAGTCTGGTATCCCCAAGTCAGGGGACTAATAATGATTTAGAAAGACCTCTCCAAGCATCTAGTAAAGTTAAGAAAACCTAAACCTAACTGAGAAGAAGAATGTTCTGAATGTCTGTGTTTCTGTACTTCTGGCCCATTGGCCACTAGGCCATATACACTTTCCTAGCTGAACCTGATTTAATGTATCTGCAGCTTCGCTGTAATTGCCTTCTAGCTATCATTTCTTTTATTATAATCTAAATTTGGAAGCATTGTTGGACAGCCCTGACAGGAGTATATTCTTTTTGTCCCCGTGTTTGAAGGCCTGGAGTGAGGAAGGAAGGGGAAATGTACACTCTGGGCTTGGCCTGGGCTTGTTTCTGGATGATGGTCAGGGATCCCTGCTCTGTGACTTTCAGCTGGTCCTTCTTCAAGTTGATTTGGTTGGACCAGTGCTAGGCAGTCTCTACCATCTTGCAAATTTCCATAGCTTCCAGTGCTTTTCTAGAATTTTGTTGCCCTATTTCATCTGATGACTGTACCCCTAAGATTGGACCCCTGGTGTTTTCAAGAGCTTCCTGAAGGGAACTGAGAGCTCTGGAGCCTTTCCCAGCTAAGGGATTCTTTAGGTGGAACAGGTGGCTTTGAACTTAGTGTAAACGTCCAGCAATGACTTAACACATCTTTTTCTCTTTTTTTAATATATGAGGTATGCCTGCATTCTGACTGATGAAAGTCTTTTTTCAGGGAAAGTTTCAGCCTCTAGATCAAGTTGTGGTGGATGACATGTTCCCAGATTGCATCTTGTTGCTGAAACTCCCCGAACTTGAAAAGTTACTTCAACACGTGACAGAGGAAAAAGGTACAGTATATAGCCCTTGAAAAATCAGGCTATGGCTGCCTGAAAGGCCGGGCATCTGTCTGGGGATGTAGTTGCTTGAAGGCTCACTGAATGTAATGCTTATTCTCTGTGGGCCATTGGGGAAACTGTCATCCAGATTTGCTTCCACTTGTCAGTACTAGTCCTCTTACTGCTTTGGATTGCTCATTCTTTGACATTCCAACCAATGAAATGTGGTGGCCTCTCTCCTGCATGGCCAGGCTTCACAAGGCTTCTGCTTTAGTCTCAGTTCTTTGATTTAGTCCATGACTTTGACTGCTTTCCGCTTCAAGTTTCTTATTTGTAAAATTACATAAAACCTATACCTTCATTGATTTAAGAAGCATTTATTGAACGTTTAGTAAGCAGCATACATTGAACACTGGTGCTAGACTCTGGGAATACTTACAAATGAGACGTCATTCTTTCCCTTACTTAACTTTGAGTCTGATAGGAGCAAATGACAAGCAGGGCAATGACAGTAGGGACTAATGGAAGTAATCTCTGAGTTTTCTGGTGATGCAAAGTACAAGTTTATAACTTGGCCTGGGTTGGGTGGGATTCGGTTCGGTGGGTATATTGTGTTACTCTCCTGGGGGAAAGGACCTCCAAGTGGAGTCTTGGAGGGATACATCAGAGTAGCAACATAACAGAGGCATGAATGTATGGAAAAGTTTATCATGTTCAGGAAGTTCCAAGGAGCTCAATGTGGCCGGAGTATAGGATCGCAGGATGGGTTTAGGTTAGTAAGGAAGGAATGGGGCAGGAATGCTGGGCAGGGGTTCGGATAGCAAAGGGCATTATATTTGTGTGGACTATACCTAATGGTACTGGAGTGTCAGCAAAGTTTTAAGCTGGGAACTGAAATAGTGTAGAGTATGTCGGAGAAGCTAAGGCCAGGTTCATGGAGGCTGCTGCAATGATGGTAGCCTGACCTTAGGAGATGGAACTAGAAGGAAGTAGCAATTTGGAGGTAGAACAAACCCTATTTGGTGATTGGATGGTAGTCAGGAGTAGGGGGAGTCAAGGATGACTTCTGGGTTTGTGCCCATCCTGGAGACAGGGAACATGGGTGGGAGGAACAGGCTGGGGTAGCAGAGATGAGTTTTAGTTATTATTCATTTGAATTTTAAGAGGAGGAAGTGAGGCAGCATATGTGAATTGTGTTTTGACAGGCTAGAGAAACACTATACAAACTTAGTATCAGTGTCTCAAAAAATCATCCAAGTAGTTTCAGGGTTAATATGGAAATGGTGTGGGAACCAAAACAACAGGCTGATAAGTTGTGGTTTGTTGGGGTCATGGACAGTTTGTCCAACTATGGCAGTTCTTCTGGGACCACAAAAGTGGAGATTCCAAGAAGTGTAAGCTTACAGCGGGAAAGGGGAGAACCTCATTCTACACTTGAGAGGTCTACTAAATTCACACTTGGCCAGACTTAGAGCTCGATTTTGGATCTGAGGGGTGTGTGATGCCAAGGTTTTATCAAAGCAGTCCATTAAAGACATTCCCTGATGCTGAGCTTGGCAGGAGACAGCAGTCTTTTTCTGGGTGACAAACGAGTAGCTCATAACCATTTTTGAAAGCTAAGCAATGATGAATAATTACAAGTCATTTTAATTTTGTCAAGTTAACACAAGTTGAAAATGCAATTAGCTCCCATTATCCAAAATTCTTATAATAGCTGTGTAAGAACAGTTATCGTAAACCCAAACCCAGAAACCCAGATTTAGAAAGAATATTAATGCGTTAGCATTTGTTAGCTTACAGTCTCTGTTTCAGTTAACCCCCTCTCATTCCTTCCTTCTTGCATACCAAATCCCTGACCTCTTATTGAATTGTTATCTGAACTCCTTTTCTAATATCTTTCTTTCACTTCTCAACGTCACCTAGCTCTTGGAAGTTCTGCTGTATTAGAAGTGCATACCCGATACATACCTTGTTTGACTGGCTCTAAATAACTAGCTGTAACCTTCAAATACTGTGCATGTCCCTTTGGAGTTTCATGGAAAAGATATCTATCTACCTCAGTATGCTCTCTGTATATAGAACTCACATAAATAAAAACATTTTACACATTTGTCCTCTGGGTCAAGGGTTGAAGCAAGTAATGAGGAATTGCTTCTGTGTAATTTGATGAAGAGGCCTTTTTGAGGATGAGGCATGCAAGATCTTATTATTTCCTTTGTTTTTAACTTTGTTTTTAAACCTTCCATTATTTTAAGATTTACAGACTGTAATTTATTAGGGGAAGAATTTGGTTATGAAGAAAACTGCCAAGACATCTAGAGAATTGCATACATCATTTTTTGTTTTTTTAAGATTTTATTGGGGAATTGGGGGGGGGGAACAGCGTTGGGGAATCGGGGAAAGAGAACAGAGAAGTTGCTGTCCTTTTGTTCTTCAGTCTAGTTGTGGAGGACGTCGCTTCACTGGCCCTTGTAGGTATTATCACTGGGCTCTTTCCGGGTGAGGCAGTCGCTTGCTGGCCATTGGATGGCCGCTCACGGTGGCTCACGGCCATTCATGAAAGCGCACGCCAGCTGCCAGCCAGCCCCACTGCAGCCTGTGCTGTCGCCTGCGACTCACAGCAGCCCAGCTCCAGGTCAAGCTGTTGTTCACCATCTAAGCTGTAGAGGCGCAGCGTCACTGGCCCTCATATGTGGGTCTGACCCGGGGCCCTGCTGCTCAGAGCTGGCGTCCCAAGCCAACTCCTAACCAACATGCCACTCGGACAGCCCTGCATACATCTTTTACTGTGTGAAATTTAATCTGCATTACTTTGTGTTTTGCCTGTCATTAAAAAAGAAAGAAAGAAAAATTTGAGGCCTAGAAGTTTTAGAAACTTGATGTATGTAAAGGTTGAAAATGAAAGTACATGGGCAGGTGAAGCAACTTTTTTAATTAAAAAAATTTAAAGATGTAGGAAAAAGCTACAAATATTGTTTGTACGCAACCCTGGTTTATCAACAAATGTTAATATTTTGTTATATGTGCTTCATATTTCTTTTGGGGGGAGAATTTCTTTAGGAACATTTTGGTAATCTGATCTCAGGACCTGATGGCCTGCAAGGAAAATTAAAAAATGTATTTGCTATATAGTTTTGAACAAATCATTCAAAGTTTGCAGCATTCTTTATCTGTGAGATGAAGAATTTGAAGAGTTGAAGGTATTTCCTATATTCTTTCATACATTATATTGGGTTGTCGGAAAAGTCATGACATATTTTTTTCTATGTTTTTCATTGCAAAAATGTGTCATGACTTTTCCGACAATCCAATAATTAGTATTCTGCAAATTGTTCTAAATAGTAGTTTTAAATCATAAAATAAAACTTTCATTTTCTTAGCTTTATAGTGTTGAGATTTCTGAATGACCAACGTATTAATGTTATTTAAGTATTGCCATTTAATAATACCTAGTCCTACCACAAAGAGATGCTTCAGGAATTGAATGAAATAATACAAGTAAATCAGCGTCCAGGGAGTGCAGGGTATATAATACTCAATAAGTGATAGTACTATTGAGGCTTCCAAATTAGAAATTTTAAAATTATTTGCTGATGGTTAAGTACTAGGTACACAGTAAGCGACCAATACACATTTGTTTGATGGTCCATTTATGAATATATATTCAAGTGGTTTAAATAGGAGAATGGGGATAATCAGCTAACAAAGATATCTTCCATATATTGAGAAATTATTCTATACTATCTCTATGCTTATTGTTTTACATATATTATTGAATTCTTGCAGTAATTCACTTTCATTTTTATTATAACCTGCATTTTATTTTTTTAAGATTTTTTTTTTATTGGGGAATTGCGGGGATGGGAATAGCACTGAGGAATTGGAGAAAGGGGAACAGACAAGTTGCTGTGGTTTTGTTCTTCAGTCTAGTTGTGGAGGACGTTGCTTCACTGGCCCAAGTTGGCACCATCATTGCGCTCTTCCTGGGCGAGGCAGATCAGTCGCCGGCCTCCAGACGGCCGCTCACTGCGGCTGCTGGCCTCCGGCCATACACGGTAGCCCATGGCGACCCACTGCAGCAGGGGCTGCAGACTATGCCGTCGCCGGAGACTCATGGCAGCCCAGCTCCAGGTTGAGCCGTTGTTCAGCATCTCAGCTGTAGAGGGCAGCGTCACTGGCCCTCATATGTGGGATCTGAACCGGGGACCTCTGGCGTCCCAAGCCAGCTCTTAACCATCGCGCCACTCGGCCGGCCCTATAACCTGCATTTTTACAAATGAGGAAACCGAGGCTCAGAGTTTATGTTAACTAACATCATAGAATTTGAAGTGGTAGAATCAAGATTTGAACCCATGTCTGTCTGATAGCAACTCTTTCCCTTTCTTCCTACAACTGTGTAACACTTCCAAAATACTGTTAGAGTTTTAAGATGTTGTCTCATTTAAAAAAAATAGAAACTTAAAAAAAAAAATCTTGTATATCACCTCTTAATAATTTCCCTTTGTGAATCAAAAAGAGAGCGAAAGGAAAGGAGACAGAAAGAACTTCGATAGCTTAAAGAAAAGGCATTTTTTCTGATCCTGGCAGTGAGCTTTTGGTTTTCAAGGCACTATATTATCCTGTTTTAATAATTGCTTTGGGTGCTGGCTACTTATTTGATTTGGGGTTAGTGTTTGGTTCCATTCTTTGTATTTTATTGCTAGGATTTTTAAGAAACAAAGAAGACTGCTAAAGAGTGGTCAGATACTATCCATGACAGGGAGCACAAAGATAGAGAAGGAAGCTGATGTTTTTAACTTCCATCCTTTCCACAGGCACTGTGCAGATAGAGTAAAACCTGAAATACTCAAATTCCCCAGCCAGCTATTTTGATATTAGACTCCAAATGCTGTCTCAAAAGTCAGTGACATTAAAGACCTGGATAAGCCCGCTACATTTATGAAAACCTTCCCACCGTGCCTTCTCCCTGCTGAATAAATCCAGCCACGGCTGTTTGTATCCTGCATGATGAT